TTTTTAGTTCCTGCATTTGTTTTTATGCCCTTTTTATATTTCTTTTTGCGTCTTAAAATTCACTTGCAACTAAATCATTAAATGTTACTTTTTGGGGGGCATTTCATTTTCTTGGAATTTAATTGTGTTTTCAGGGGTCATTGGATTTAAGTGTCTTTAAAAAATAAAATAAAATAAAATAAATAAGATATCATCACCGCGGGGAGGCGGGCGATGATAACTTCCTCAATGGCTCAAGGGGGCGTTTCTTTCAAAAAGGTTAAGAACCACTGATGTAAAAGACCACACAAAAAACAAACAAAAACCATGCAAAAACAAGACCAGAGCTCCCATTTCCACGGGAAGCGAGGAAATCTTATGTAGGGGGAAGTTTTTGTATATGGGATTTGGAAAATTGTTGAGAACAAGAAAATGTTTGTATACTCACCACATTCCTATCAGATGGAGCCAAACAACACCAAGAAAGGTATAGTTTCCTACCCCTGCCCTCAAGTGAGGGGAAGCTATGTGAGGTAAGCTGAGGACTGGGAAGAGGTATTCTGGAGGTATTCTGAAGACTATGAAAAAGAGACTCTGAGACAGTCAAAATTTAATAAAAAGCAACATAGACCAGAGTCCTGAAAAATAATACTTTCAGAACATAATGTTAGCACTTCCCACATGTTTTATCTAAGCTACGGTTACAATGTGTCACTTATAAGTGGGTTCAATAAGCTAATACTGGCCAGGTTTAACTTCCAGTCAATGGGTTTAATTAAAATAGTCCTGTAATTACTAATTTTTCATCTTTTTCTTCCTCTTAGTGACATCATTTTCTTTTTCTAATTGTATTACAATCAGGATGGGTGAACAACAAGCTAAAGTTGTATATTCAGTGTCCATCTTGTTCAGACTTCATTTGTTTCAATAATTCATGTTTTCTCTTTGGATTCAAGAAGATCCATTTTTGGAAAGAAAATTCAGTTCAGCAAGATCCACATGGTATTACTGGTGGCTACTAAGATATGAGAAGAGCACACCTCCTCAAGGCAATGCTTACATAAGTTTTATAGTGCTGTAATACTTTCAAGCTGTTTCTAGTCTCTCGCCTCTGAAATGCCTTATCTTCCTACCTCCAGGATACCTCTTGCTAAGCCCCACTTAAATTTCTTAATTTTGCATTAGAAAAGTGGGGGCATCTTATACACAGAAAAATACAGTATGTTTACATTCCAAGTTTTTGTTCTGCACATTTATCGTGGCACGGCAATATATGGCACTTGTTGTTTCAGCAGCCCTCAAGTCCCCACTACCAAACAGCAACAACACAGCGGTTAAAAGAATCACATTTTCAACCTAAAACAAAGAATATCAGGACTTAATTTACTGTACCTCAAAGTGTATATTTCTGAGAAGCTATTTTCTGTAGCAATAGGAGGGAGTGCTACCTGCAGCAGGGTTAGTGGGCTTAAATTGGACTCCAGGTCTTCTGAACATGCCCTCGATTGATACAGAAATATCTTAAGGATATATGTACAAAAATATATCCTTATAAAATTAGAAATATGCCTTTAAAGAGACCTGTAACTATCTACAGAGCACTGTCCAAACAGACAGTGAAGCATATGGATATATAAAAGATCATACATGGACAAAAAAAGAGCACAAAATAAGAATTGTCAGAGGAAACACTTTTTTTCTAAATCTAAAACAAAGATGCAGAACTGGAAGATTCTGTCCAAGCGATTTCCATGTATCTATAAAGAGGTATTTTAAATTAAAAAGAAGTATTTTCAATAACTATTTTCAGTATTTTCTCTAAGATATTGTTTAACAGTATCATCATTGCAGCAGATCATACATCTTTACAATTCATTCCTCTATATTTGTTATGATATAGTTTCCAAAATGTATAATATAAAAACTGACCAGCAGTTACTATATAACTGGTCAAGTCACCTTGCAATCCTATGCTCATTTATTCAGATGAAAGCCACATTCAATTTAGTGGCTCTTACTACTAGAGGAGTACAGGGCTGCATTCTCAATGTCTTCTCTCCTTACTTTGTATTTTATATACACAGGTGAAAATAAATTCAGTTCTAAACCTGCAGCATACTCCCTATTATCTTTCTGTCAGCTGAAGGGCTAGATCCAACCTAGTCAAGTTGCTTATAGGACAGTCCCTTTCCTACCATGATACAATAATTCACCCCCTACACAATGCACAGGTGACTGAGGATCTCTTATGCACTCACAAGGGGATTGCATGACAGTCCAGGGAGTATTGTTCTTTAGTAGTGGAAAAGCACATTATAACCCTCAGGCTTCCTCCCATCTTGCTCCCAGTTTCCCTCTCAAGGAAGCTGGTGACTGCAGAAAATAGTGCAGGAGGCAATTAGCAACTGCAGCAATGGCTTTTTTGTTCACTTTATTTAAAGCATTTTTAGCACACCCTTTAGTCAGAAAATCTCAGAGACTACCTTACAAAATCAGAAATAAACTATCCCTGCCTGCTTATTTATAATCAAAAAAGCCATAACACAAAAAGAGATGGTGGAGGGTAGAAAAGCAGATAGGCACTCTAAATTTAAAACAGACATTCTTGGCAAACAGGCACTATTCAGTTTATAGCCCTATGAATATCACTGAATTACAACTTCCATCATTTCATACTGGCTACACTGACTAGACATGATGGAAGTCCAAAACCATCTGGAGGGTTACACTTTGCCCACCCTTAGTTTGGGTTTCCTGTTGAGATCAACAGGAAAAATCTCTCATCATTTTAAGGGTATAAGTGGCATCCTGGGTTGCATTTATAATAAGACTGCCAAGCAGAGGTTCTCTCTTACTCATACTTCTAGAACACATACCAAAGCTCTTTAGCTCATTCAAGGCATGCCTGACTCAGTTCAAAAGCCTGCTAGAAGCTACAAACTCTGAAATGTCTAAAGAGCTATAACTCTATTTGGGAATACACTGTGTACTCCACCACTGCACACAAAACATATTCAACACATAATCTAAAATCCATATTGTAGTAACAGGCTTTCCCAAAGCCAACATAGCTACTCCTGTTTTTTTTATGGCTCAACACCTCCAAAAATGATCAGGATATTAAATGTGTAAAAAACTGCAATGCAAAAATGTAAAACATGACTTTCATATCTCAGCCACATGTAAAACACAGCCAAAAGTGGCAGCTGCAGCCAAATCAATATTCATATATACAGATACCTATGAACACAACCCAGGCAGAGCTAAACTGTTCTCAGTTAATTTAATGGGAGTAATTTAAGCATATATTTATTTTTTTCATTGAAATCATGAAGTTGCCTGCCCAAATCCTAAAATTATTTAGTTTTTTAAGCTACATAGACTGGAGCACTGAGTGATAGCATGCATGCACATAAGATACATGTCACTAAGCAGCCCTCCCAAATTACATGGAAACTTGAAAGTAATCAAACAAATGCAAAAATTACTGGAGTTCAACTGGATCATATCTCTCATGCTTACTGAGTCCTCCAAACTCCTCAGCTGCAAATCCTCTTCAATACCTATTCAGATTTTTCAGACTCTGAAAAAGATGTATTCAATACACATTTAATATTTAAGAAATATTTCTATAAAGACTGCTCAAAATGTTACGTATCCCAGGTTTAAAACAACTTAATATGCTAGGAAAACCACAAAATACAAAACAGAAAATGTACATTTGAAGAACACATAGTATTATATACATGTCAATTTCATGCAGTGTATTAACAGATACAATATATGCAAAGGGGCCTGTCCTTCTGAATTTACATGTTTAAAATGTCAGTAAGCACCTAAGTCACTCTTCTGTTACTGCATGTCTTACTTATAAAAGCATTCTCTCAAATAGCTGCCACAAACTTGTGCTAGTTCAGGTACTAGAAAATTAATTCTAGTAATTTGAATATTATTGTCTACTCACAAGATACAATTCTTCAAAATCTGCCCACCCACATAAAACCTTTTAATTTCACCTGGCTTGAAGAGGAATCTTATGCACATATCGTGCCCAAAGATTAGTCATTAGGAGTAAGCTCACGCTGATCCACCAACAGTTCTGAGTGCAATGGGCAAAGCTATGTGGTCTAATTGGCTCCAAACAAATAATATGCCAGAACAATGAAGTCACAGACTCCAAAAGAACAGAAGAGATGTAGGTCTTTCAAACATGTTACATCAGAAAAATAGAATATATTATCTTTGCAAATAACTAGGTATCTTTAATTTCAAAATCACTGCAATTTAAAACATTTTGTGCAAGACAGAAAAAATACAAGAATGAAGCTGCTTTATATTTATTTTGTATCTGCTAAGGACATAATTCATATGCCATCACTTATAGTCTTAAAACAAGATTCATGTTAATACAACAGATTAGTACATATTCATCCACATATATAATATGTGACAATTTTGCCATTAAAGCTATTATTTAGCACTGAACTGATTAATTACTTCAATCCACTCAAAGCTTTCTCTCACATTTACCAGTAACTTGGTCGGGTATCACAATTTCATTAATGATCCATCTCTGACCATTTCACTACCCTTCCAGAATCTATCAATAAAAGAACACATTCTCTCTTACAAGCCACTTTTTAATGCATAATTCATTTTAGAGTGAATAAATACAGTATGTATTGAATTTTTATTCTGGCAACGTCCCGAAGAAGGAAACACTACCTAGTACATACTATCAGATTGTATTTGATTGACCGTCTTGGTTCTTCTTAGATGGAGCATGAATTAGCCCTTTTTCTAGGAATTGGTTCTTGAACAATACTGTCTTTCTTATGTATACAAGATGAACACAGAGTCTCCGACAATCTCCAAAGTCCCAGCCTGAAAACACTGTTTGAGAGACTATATATAACACAGTTACAAAAACTATTGCTAATAGCAAGCCACGTTGTTAAGAAAGAGAGTGCTGGGTTTTCCAGTACTCTAGAGCTCTCAAGAGTAAAATATATAATATAGGGAAGCCATAGCACATAAAACACACTCGTTATACGAAATAAAACCATAGCATAGCGTCGGTCAGGATTATGGCCTGTTTCTGCAGCAGTGTCCACTTCATGACTAGGAAAGCGAGCTTTTCTATCATTTATCTCTTTGGTGTGCTGCCGGCAAATTCTGAATATGTGGAAGTATGTAAAACAAATTATGAAGGCAGCTGGAGCATATAATAAGCACACAATAAAACCCGTAAAATAGGCATTAGTGAGCCAAGAAGTTGCACACCATTCAAAAATGTCTCCATGATAACCTGGTTTTCCCCAGCCAAAAAAGGAAGGCAAGAAGATAAGGCAGGAGTAAAGCCAAATTAATATTATACAGATTCTCAATCGGCAAGGTGTGACCAATTGGTTATATGAAAGCGGCTTTGTGATAGCAAGATAGCGATCCACACTTATGAAAGCGAGGCAGGCCATAGAAACACTTTTCAGGACAGAGATTATATATCCAAAAATTTGACAAGTCAAGGACTCTTGAACACCTGTAGAATAGTGAAGCAATGACAAGGTAGGAACCAAGCAGCTCACCCCAACAAAAAGATCAGCATACGCCATAGTCTGTATGAAATAGCTGGTGGTGTAATGATGTAACAGTGGAGCACAATGAAAGACAAAAATTACTGTTAAATTACCAGCAATTATTAAAAATGTTAGTAAGACAATAATTATAGTCTCAAAAATACAGATGTCAATGACATTGTACTGGCCAAATCCAAATGGACAAGAATGATGCTCCGAGACATTCAAAATGCTACCACTCATATTCAGAGTCTTCCACTGAACCCACATGGACTGGTTCATGGCTTGCATTACAGAACAATGTGCTCAGAATTTCCCAAATCAGATGATCTGATATTCAACAGCTATTTTTGTTTCTCTGCTTATTTTCTCTAATAATTACATTGTTTCTGATGTGTTACAATTACAATGCAGAAAGGAGGCAAAAAGGCCTTTCTTCAGCTTCTTCCTGCACCTGCTTTTTCAACCAAAATGCAAGGCACTACTATACAAACTGAGTTGTTCAAACTGTACTTTCAGAAGGAAAAGAGAAAAGAAATAAAAAATGGAGAAGCAGAAAATCTCTGGAAATGCATTTTCTTGAGGGAACATTTTTTTGAAGAGAAGAAATAATGGAAGGACTTTTCAATATAATATTATCTAAAACATTGCTACAAATTGAAGTCTAAAAGCAAGGTGAATAAGAGGTCCAATAGGATATCCATTCTATTACATATTTTGGCTCTCTTCAAATAGTAATGTCATTTACTTAAGCTTAATCCATTCTGCATTTCCAATTACAGTATATACAGTAATTCTGTACATGTTAATGCAAACAAGCTTCACTGGTCTTTGGAAACAAGTAAAGAAATGTGTTCGAACTGTAACCGATTTGTGGAGATTCCAGTCATTCCTTCGATGCATGATATCTTTTCCATTCATTTAATAAACCCATGTAATTTTTTTAAGGCACAAGCAGACATGGAGGAGAAGTTTCAGACAGGAGCCAATTTAGCTTGAAACATGTGCTGTTCATTACAACTGTAAAACATCACAGGATAATCCAAAATGCTCACATCACACCAAGCTGTCTTGTATTTAATACCAGGAATGATAAAATGCAATCATTATCTTCAGATATAAAGTCAAAACTGCTGGATCATTATAGTGAAGTTCATAGCTGTATCCATGCCATTTCTCACCTCAATTGCGATGTCCACATTTTTTATATGACCCAACACAATGAGATTATGAGCTCCCATCCAAATTCTTCCGAAAAGCTAATGAAATGTTGATTTAACAGGAGAAGCTGTCACTGTATACTGCTACTCCATTCATCTTCTGGCTTCATTTTCTTAGTTGCTGTACAAGTATTTTCTTTGGACAATTAGAATACAACTATTGGCTTCAAAAGTCTTCCTTGCAAGTCCAGTATTATCACTTCTTTTGTGTTTTGTCACATTTCCATTGCAGAAGAAGGCTGTTCCAATACTCACAAAAAAGCAGGTACAGTATTTGACTACTGCATGGATTTCATTCACTATATGCAGCAGTCTTGCTTTTCAATCCACCCACAATCCACACCCAAATCATATGCATCTTTAGTCATTTAAACATGCAGGGGGAAATTAACCCAAACCTTTAAAAAAAAGAAAAAAGGGAAAGGGAAAGTCCACAATCATTTCAATTTTAAGATATTTGCTTTTTCTATCTTAAAAATGCTGGATCTCATTTATGCTCCTTAATAATCCTTGCTGTGTCTTCTGAAGAGGAAGTCCTTACATGAAGAAGAAAAGAGTTTTCACTGATTCCGCTGCAGCAGTATAACAGAAAGCATCCTTTTCTAAGTTTCAGGTCTCTTGTTCATCATCACCACGCTGTGTTGAAGGTCCTCATGTTTTTATAATATCCACAGAATGCTGCCCATTTTTCCCTTATCTGTAGGCAGTTTGCTTAAATTAAATTCTCTATTCAAATAAGTCTGCAGTGTTTTTCATATAGATGTTCTATGGTATAGATTCAATCCTACGTGTTGCAATCAATTTTGAGAATGCTCCTGCTATTTCGTGCATGCTTTCCTGCAATATCACAGTGTGCACTAAAGTCTGCCCCTCCTCTTTATCCTTACTTGATGCAGAAAAACTTGCCATCAGAAAGGTGACTCGGTCCTTCAGCCCCAATCAAAAGCATAGCCAATGGCTACTGCCTCTGAAACTGTCACTAGGTAACAGTTGCCAGGCATAATGCCGGCTTATAGCCTTCCACTGTAGCCGTGAATAAAAATGACAAATGAAGATAAAGAAAGTGACCTATCTAATTTAATGCATTGAAGGTTTTAGAAACAGTTTTGCAGATATACATGATCTAACTACAAAATGATGAAAACATTCATTGGAATCACTCTGCATTCTCCAGCATCAAAGCTTCCTTTATTATACAGCAAGCCCAAGTCAGCTGTAATGTAATCCTCAATGCAAGGAAGATTAATTATTAAACTTCTACGTGAAAAATCTCCATTAAAATAAAAGATTGCTTGATATTTGAAATGCCACTGCCAACTCTTACAATTAACAAAAACTGAAACTTCCTTTAGCACTTATATAACAAGAAGTAACACTCAAATTAATATGCTAACTAAGATTAAACTTTATTTACTATGGTGTAGGTAATTTATCATCTTTTATTATAATTTTATATAAATTACATCTGTTGTGGTTTACTTAATAATTTTGTCATAAAACTAGGAATGCATATTCAAAAATATCATCATAGGACTCTTGAAAAGCATATCAACTGAAGACCTAAAAAAAATCTTAAAATATTTTCAAATAGCATACAGATTATATTTTTATTTTCCATTACTGGAAGGCAAGTTTATGTATAAAGCAATTATCAAAACAAAAATTTATAGATACAACTCTGATATTTATATGTAAATATTCAGATGAGCCTATGACTAACATACACTAACCTGCAGATTGGCTTCAATACACTGGACAAAATCCTCTTGAAGTTATGCCATGCAAGCTGGATGATGTTACTGTCTGTTGCTGGTCATTTTTAATTTATATTAATTGAAAGCTTTCCCCCTCCCCTTGTGAGGCTGTCTAAGGCTCCCTGGGAAAGCTTTCATGAGCCTTGGGAGAGGGGGCAGGGAGAGACAATAGCCACAGCAGCAATCCATCAGCAATTTTTGATTACCCCATCTCAACCTAAAGTTTCCAAAGGCAAAAAGAAGCCCTAGGGAGCTTTGGAACCTGAATGTGGGGAGCAGGACACTTTCAATTAATTTAAATTAATTAAAATTTAATGATGCCAGATTATGAAATCATCCAACTTGTCCAGTGTAACTTTACACCAACTGGATTTTGCCCAGTGAGTATGTATGGGTAACCATTTTCAGCCCAAAGAATAAAACTCCAACCTGCTAAAGTTTTTGGAAGCCATTTTTCACCTATGGGGAGGGTAAAAATGTAATTAAGCATACTCAAAACTAAACAAACAAACAAAAAAAACCTCTGCAGATCTGCCCAGAAATCAGCAGCACTTAATCATTCAGCCTCCCTAGTTTCTACTTGTTTTACTCTATTGTAGCAGAAACTGCGATTTACATTGCTTTTTGGAATAGACCACAGACAACACTCACTGACCAGGTTGGTTGGGGAATTCCAGGAACTACAGTCCAAGAAAGTTACTTTCTGCTTCTTAATAATAACAAATATCTCAATTTCTTGTGTACATTTAATGTGTGAGTTCCATTTCATTTACTGGGTTTCTGTTAATTCACACTTCTCTTCATTTGTGCCAACTCTTTTATCCAGAGCAGCATCTAGTATGCTTCCAGAAGTCCATGGAAGATAAAATGGAACTCTGATGTTTCTGGAACATGACAGTAGGGCTAGAATGGATTCCCTAGGTCAATGATTTAAACCCCTGCCAAATCACTGGCTCTGTAAGGGCTAGGGACCTTTTTTAAATGAAAGCTTAGACTCTGGGGCAGCTGATGGGCTAAATAAGCACTAGATGGCATGTCTAAAATTCAGATAAAACCAGAGAAAGTAAGTAATCTAGCAGGTTAGTTCCCATGTTTAATGGAGCACACACTAGAAACATATACATATAGCAGCCACCTTGGGTAGAAATTATTTGTTTGTTTATGAAAACTTGTATACCACCCAGTTAGAGCCCAGGAACTACTCTAAGTGGTTTATACTGAAAGAATAAAAGCAGAGTAAAAATTATATACCAAAACAAACAGACAAATGATGAAAACACAAATAATCAAATTAAACAATAAAATAAAATAAAAAACTGAATCAAGCCTTGGACTAAGCAGACCCAGACAATGGTAGGATGGTGGTATAGATATGGTGTTAACTATGCCATAAAAAGAAAATGTCTTTAAATGCTTCTTTGAACAATGTGGTTTTAAACATCCTCTTAAAGGCTGGGAGGGAGAGGCCACAACCAAGAAGGCCCAGATTCATGTAGATGTTTTCTTGGCTTCTTTCGGAGTGGCCACCCATAAGAGACAATTGGATAGCTCAGGGTGATGTTCTTAGGGAAACATGCTAAGTATGAATAAAGGTATATAGGCCTCAAAAAAGTATTAAAATGTTCAGCTTCAGAACACTTCATTTATGACATATATAGTTTTACAGTGGTACCCCGGATGACAATGATAATCCGTTCCATAGAAATCGCTGTTTAGCAAAAACATTGTCTTGCGAAAACCCCATTGGAATACATTGAGACCTGTTTAATGCGTTCCAATGGGGAAAAATCGTCGTTGTTTTACGAAGATCACCCATAGGGAAGCCATTTTGCGAAGCGTCGATCAGGTGTTAAAATGGCTGCCCTGCGAAGCATCTGTCCCAAAAGCACCTGTTTTGCGAAGCGCCAATCAGTGTTAAAATCGTCGTCTTACGAGAAACTGTTTGCGAAGCAGGGACCCAAACATCGTCCAGCAAAAATCGCCCATTTGAATCACTGTTTTGCGAATCGCTATAGCGATCGCAAAACCTCGTCATGCGGATTCGTTTTGCGAGGTCGTCGTCTAGCGAGGTACCACTGTACTTGGCAAGCAACAGACATTTTAACAATTTACCTTCCATCTCAAAATAAATAAATTCACAAAGTTTAATTAAAGAAGGCTCTGTGTAGGGTTCCAATCCTAAAGAAGCCAGATCAGCAAATGTCTCAGGCAGGATATTCTCCATAGTATCACCTCATTTGAGGAGCAGCAACTATTGGCATACGACAACCTACACAACACTAATACACAGATGGGGATTAAACCCTGCTATAAACCCAGAATGCCAGCTTCTTCCCCACATCCATTCTGGCACCACAATTACAAGCCCCAACAATGCCACACACAACATCACGGCATGTTTACTTGTTCCTCTGTTAATATGATCTATACCATTCTTGACCAACAGTTTGTCTCTTGCACTCTACATAGGACAAAAAGGACAACCTCTGTGAAAAAGAATTAATGGTCATATATCAGACATCATGAATGGCAATACACAGAAACCTGTTTCAGAACATTTCGATCTACCCAGACACTCTTTACAGGTTTTGAAAGTTGTGGTCCTGGCAAAGAAATAGAACAATACTTCAAAGGGAAACAGCTGAGATAAACTATATACAGATGCTACTAACTGATCTGAAAAGGTTAAATGTCTGCCAAGGGTCCTTAAGTCATTACAAAGTATAAAATGCTACAGTGATTGTGTCAACTCTACTGTTGTTATCCATATCCTGGTGTTCCTTTCTTTCTTTCTTTCTTTCTTTCTTTCTTTAGTTATTTATTTATTTAATATGTATCCCACCCATTTAGACAGCATCTACTCTGGGCGGACCAACATACCATTGCCAGACTGTATAGAACAAGGCTTGAAAGGGAAAGAAACCCACTTAAAACGACTGGATATCAATCAGAAGTCTTAAATCATTACCAAGTGTGACATGCCTCATTGACTCATACAATGTACAATGTGTGTCTACTGTACTAGCCACTGTCACTTTGTCCTTCTGTATCTTCACCTGGTCATGCATAAATGATTATCATATAATCCCACTCTTATGTCTGAGGAAGTAGACTTGATTCATGAAAGCCCACATTAAAATACAGCAGTCTTTAAGATGCTACAACATTTTGTCTCTTTTGTTTTGTTTCCTGTCAGAGGTG